GGCAATACTGTATGGAAAGGAAAAAATCAAACCACAAAGTTTTTTTCCCCCGGTTTGCATGCCCATGCATAGTAGCAACGCACCATGTCGAAGACGGTACACAACCCTTGGAAAACGTGTAAAATCTCTAACCCGCATTGGACCTGCAAGGGGACATAATTTGCTGATGAGATCAACAGGCTGACAAGTATGTAATTGGTACTATACAATTTACAATTGGTCCTAAAAATACTAAGGCAACATTCTTTTCACTTCTTCCGATCCAAAGCCACCAGGTTCGCCCATCGCGACTTTGTCTCCCTCAAATTAACACTTCTAACCTTGATAATTAGTTACGATCGACAACAACATAATAAGAGTAAAATCTTTTAAGACAATAGAAAACAGAAAGGGGAAAATGTTTTGGACATTTGTTAAATAATGTTGAATTTGTGAGGATTATAATTGAAGGGAAGATAGAAAGAAAAAGAAAGAGTTTAAAAAGAAAGTTTCCATAATTTGTTAGTAAGACTTAGCAACGATGTTACTAGGTTAAATGAATGTTAAACCTTTTTGTAAATATTTTTGCAATCTCTATCTAAAGATTTTTAGGTTTTCTAAGGCTTTTAAAAGTAACACTTGCGATTAAAAATATGCAACAAGATGCAACAGGTTTTTTGCCACTTTTTTAACCGACTTAAAAAAGGAGGAGGTTCTCAATTCGACGGTATGTTTTTTTGTGTGTACGTTCCGCGATAATTTGTAAACCGATTTTGATGATTCTTGTTGTTGGAAAGAGGATACCTCAGATGTGGTCCCATTTAAATTTGTAGAAAATATTCCACCTCTAAGGGTGGCAAACTAGGGGATGAATGATTTTTGAGGTTGGTTTTTTTAGGACTATGTACTGATTGCTTGTTTACAGTAGAAATAGTGATGTACTTACTATGTCGGTTGTGATGACAAGTGAGATCGCAAAACTTACGTTATAATTTTTTAATATTTTTTGTTCGGTCGGTTACACTAAAATATAAAAAGACAATTGAGCTAACGAGACACTTAGCTTTTGCTATAATTTCTATTTGATGTAGTTTTGAGCGGGAAATGTCGACGCGTCCACAGGGATAATAATAACATATGAATACAAAATATTGCAATAAAAAATGCTGTATAGGTAAAAAGGGGCTTTTAATAAGTCGGCGGTCATAGCTCATTATCGTCACCTGTGAAAACCTCCCATACACATTTTTACTCATTTTTGTTGAAGAAAAAATTATAAACTTCTTGCTTAAATACATTATTAAAGTAATATAGCCTCTGAAAAAGGTATAATTAACTAATTAAAATGCTGACTATACGCTGCCGTCTGTACGTAACTATCATACGAATTCGAATCAGAATCAGATCAGAAGTTCGCTAGGCTAACCTAACCACCGCGCAAAAAAAGTACCATCAACGTTTTTAAAAGCGATAATCTCATAATAGTAATAGTATAACTAGATCTTGTGTCATAAAAACTAAGTTCACTTACAAATCTAGCATCGACCGGACTGTAGTCATAACTTAAAACACGCGTGGGCTGTAAAGACAGCAACAGCTCTTTATAAGTAACTTAAAAGCAACTTATGCGTAACTTATCTCTCACTCACCCATCTCTTAATGACGCTTAATGCTCTGCAATGTTATCAGCAGCTTCTCAAAGTTGTATGGGAACCATTGTCTCATGGTTATTAATAATTCATATGGGCCGTGATTGAATTGTAGAGAATGCACTTTACCGTGGAGGTAGAAAATGAGAAAGGAGATTTTTAAAAGCCAGTTTTGTAATAGTACATTGTGTATAAAGGACGGTAAATAAGAATAACTTATTAACGTTTTTCATTACATTTGGAAAAAAATTATGGATACAACGATAATTTATGTCGTGTATTAATAAATATCGCTTCACAACAAAACAATTACTGGTTTTGAAAATGGCGGATTTTTTTTTATATAAAACAGATGGCCAGCTATTCTTCCATAGATAATACAACTCGAATGTTTTACATGAACTTTAAAATGTTATAAAAGGTCAAAATGCATACAGGCATGTTGGTAAAGATATAAAATAAATAATTTTGAGATTGCTGCAGAGTTTGCTCATAATATTAATTTAGAAAATGTTGTTTTTTTTTCTACACTTCAAGCTTATATGAAATAATTCAGATTTTTCGAGCATTAAAACTTTTAACGTGTGGGAAGTACAGTGCCGCCATATGTAATGTATGTATGAAAAAGCTCGTTGACGTAATCCAGCCCATTACAGCCGACTTTGTCTGCCTGTTATGGCACTGTTTACGAGCAAGTGTGATGAAAACGTTTATAAACGTTTCTTTTACAGGCTATTATATGAATGTAACAAATAATGTTACAGACGTCAATAAACGTTGACGTTGCCCGTGCATATGTGTATATGTGTGAGTAGTGCTTACTTATCCAGTGAAATTTCGGTACTGTGTGTCGCTAGAGATACAATATTTTGATATGTTGTAGAGCGAGATGAGAGAGAGAGAGAGCTTTATTCGATAAGCTAGTGTCTTCATGATGTTTCCTCTACGGATAGCGAGAGGTACTTTCACGAATATACCTAACTTAGAAACTAAAGTCGTACACAGAGATGCGAACCATAAACTTCAGAATACGGAAACTATCGCGATTTACAATTGAAATCAATATGATCAATTTTCATATGCCGTCTGATCCTAGAAACTGCATAAACAGCCAGTATCACATAACTTTAAATGAAACTGTGGCACACTGTATTTAGTAGCAGTAGAGCTCCTTGTGAAAAGGTTCGTCCAGGGAAGTACTATCACCTTACCTGATTCTGCCGCCAAGCCGTAATGTGAACATTACTGCGTTCTGGTCTCAGTAAAGGTGCTAGTGAAATTACAGGCACATGGGACTTGTCAACTTGAGTCTCCGGGTGATGCACGGGCGCAGTGGCAGCACCCTATAGGTCTTCGATTTAAAACTATGAAAGGCACTGTAACTGTTATGGATAGGCGTGTCGCTTGCCACCAGGTGTGTTTAGAAGAAAAATTTTCTAATTGATTAAATAACATTTTACCTACATGTTTGGTTTGGATTCTGTACCTTATTTTTTATCATTATCCACAGAAGGCATTAATTCAAATTTTGGTAAACATTTGCTTAAACTTATATATATAGCATATAATTAGAGTTACTTAAAAATATATATTATTGACCGTAAAGCAATCACAAATACAATACTTTCAGATACTAGATTTATAAAGCAAGCAAACCCGTGGTGAACAACATACATGTTTCTAGTTAAACATAATAAAATTATCAAAGTCCAGCAAATACAGTTATCCAACATTTAACCCACATGGTTAATGAAGCGGTGCATTCCGAGATAAACCCATTGTCTTATGGTGGTCGAGATACAAACGGACAGACGGACTGGCGGACAGATTATTTATATCTGTCGCGTGGGAGGGGTTGGAATATTAACGCTGAAATAACTTTATTGCGTTTTGGATATCGAAATATTTAACTTAAAATGGGAATCATAATTGGTTTTTGCTAACCGGCATCGCGTTTAAACAATGTACGTCTCACTACTGGACCTGGGTTTTCTCCAATATGAGTTGGGAAGTCGAGAAACTTGTCATGCAGGTTCATCGTAATTTGTACCGAATGCAAGACTTCTTTTACATAAGAGACAAGCAACTAGCTCTTTTCCAACTAAACTATTAACTGTTTGCGCTAGCTAATGTGGACAAAGTAGATAAATTAAATAAGTGTGATAAGTGACACGCCTTTCCAAAACAGTTGCTGTGTTGCTCAGAGCTTTAAATCGCAAAGATTTTTTTTTGTATGATACCAAGTGAAGGGACGAACTAGTCGTGCGCCTTGTGGTAAGCGACACGTTTGTCCATAACAGTTGCAATGCCACCCAGAGTTTTAAATCGCAAAGATGTGAGGTGCACTTCCACTGCTCCCGTCGCCCTGAAACATAAGTTGAAAAGTCAGACTGTAATTTCGCCTGCATCCTTACCTCTTCAAAACCGAAACGCAGACTCAAATTACTGCTTGGCGGCAGACGTAGGCAAGGTGGCACTACTTCCCTGAAAGAACTTTTTCACAAGGACCTATCCTGCCACTTTACACACTGGTGCTTTGTGCCATCCACCACGATCCTAAGCTAGTCTCACCCATGTAAGACCCGCAACTTTGACGATGTCGTCCATCCAATCTACCTTCACGTTTCGCGTTTCTATCACCATTTCTTCCACCTTTCGGTTATCGCTATACTTCGTCTGTATCAGCTCCATTTTAAATTTGTTATCCGATCTCCGGGGCGCGTCACATTGCTCGCAGAACATCTTTTCTGCGACTGTCTAGTCGATAGGGCTAAAGAGTTCTCGAGTGGCGACCGCGTACCGGTATATGCTGGATGCAAGCAACACAAGTCGGTCGTTGTGGCGTCCTTTGGGGGACGTCTTTCCGTTGGCATGACGATGACTGATCTCTAATGTGCTGGACCTTAGTACGTCTTCGTATTCCGGATTTCGGAACTCGATCTATAAGTATGATGTCGGCATCATACTCGACTCGCCATGGCTTTTTGTGCAACTCTCTACTATTTACAAAGAGCAACCCCTAGTATGTCTTGCTAATTCTTCTCAGGGGACTCTGCCTTTCGAATGAGCAATAGAGTTTAATCTGTATAACAATTTCAAGTGTTTACCTATGAAATTAAGATAATTTCACTGACTGCTCATTCTGTACACAGCCTTCTGCGTGAGCGTCCACGTCTCGGCACTGTAAGTCATAGCGGGCAGGGCACACTGGTTAAATAAGCGGGTCTTCAAACATTGTGGATTGTCAACCGTATTCAGAATGTCATCTAGCTTACTTAATGCAGTCCATACCAGTTGAAGATGATGACATTGAAAGATCTTTTTAAAAAGATCATAAAATATAAACTAATGAATTAAATTTCTGACTCCCAGATCTCTCCAACATGCCCGCGGGCGATGTTGGACTCTCGCTCAATTAGATACATCGGATTACGTTATTAACTTATTATACCAAAGGATTAGTTAATACAACTGGTTTACCGACTTATAAAATTTGGTTTAAATAATACTTTCTTACTTTGAACGCCTACGCCCAAGTTAATGGAGTAGTATCGCTAAACTTTCACCCACGTTAATTCTCAGAACGACATTGCCATTAAAAAAAGCAGATTTGACAATCTCGGTGGCCCGGACAGTAGCCGCTAGGTTACTAGTTTCCGGGTTTAATTACCGATAACATGAGTTTAGGAAAACCACAGTTTTAGCGTAAATTAGAGTGTGTTCTTTGATAAATCAAAAATAAGGAAGTTAAATTTATAATTTTTGCAACTGTACTTCAGAATAGGGTCTTTTGCATTTGCATTAGACATTTGTTGGTCCAACCAGTCAGGTATGTCCAATGCAAATTATGGAGACAAAAGTGAATCTTAAAAGCATTGAGCTTATAATGCATACACTCATAGCCTCTCCCTATGGAAACCCTGTATCGCGGGTGCCAAGGACACACGCACCACAAATTACACCCAAACTCACGAGATAAATAAATGTAAGCCATATAAATATTTATCTCGGCCCGAGAATCGCACCCGGGACCTCTAGATTCAGATGAACACTAGGATAATTTTAACAAACACTAGATTAATTTGTAATTACTAAATAGCTACTTATGCAAAACATTGAACAGTATTTACAGAACATTTTTTTAACATGTATTAATAATATCGAGTTCGTGAGTTTTCGCATTTATTTGCCAAAACATCATTTGAAGGACCCAAACCATTGGTTTGTTTAAAAAAAGCAATATAGACAATTGTAGATCCAAAAAAGGCCTACATATAAGAAAGCACCGTTTCAATTGCTTGTGACAAATTGTTTTAATCTATGCATGAGTTTTTGATATTTAAATATTGACATAATTTCTAATTTTTTATGATTTTGACTCGCGTTTCTATTTCTAAGTGACTTCAAAATTTTTTTATAACTCCGCCATTTATGAACCGGTTTCGATGAATTGATATGATATGAAAATATGTGCAAGACCTCGATGATTCTTGTATATTGGAAACGGGGTACCTCTATAGTGGTGCCATTCGAAATTTGATGAAAATATTCCATCTCGAAGAGTGGCAAACTAGAAGATAATTGCTGTTTATTGAATTACGCCCACTTTCTGTTAACCGGTTTCAATGGATTAGGCAAAAAAAGTTATAAATTTTTTTTTATAATATCAAGTGACGAGACAAACAAGTCGTGCGCCTGATGATAAGCTCTCAGAGCTTTAAATCGCAAAGATCTGAGGAACACTGCCACTGCTCCCGTCACCCTGAGACATGAGTTTACAGGACCCATTTGCCTGTAATTTGACCAGCACACTTACCCTTCAAACCGGAATACAGTGATGCTGACATTACTGCTTGGCGGCAGAAATAGGTAAGGTGGCAGTACATACTTCCCTGAACAAATTCTTTCACGAGAAGTAACCAACATTTTAGTAAAAGCATTTTTGTGTCTAGTAGTCAGTACATTTAATTGAAAAATACTTTGAATTACTTTTATCCTAACTAACCTCAATTGGGTGCAAACAAAACGGGGGCATAACGAATGGGCCCTAATTGTATTACTAGTGACATAGATTATGAATTGAAAATTTGTCAATAAAAATTAGAAAAAATCCTCTCCATGTCACTCTTTATTTTTGCGTTATCAGAGTTTCATTTATTTACACAATAGTTGAATATGTTATTTACATCCACGTGACAGTAAAGTGATATCTTTTAATCCTCGCTCCGATATGTAACTGCGTCATCCGGATTAAATTTAGTACACGGCCACTTCTGTATAAAGAAAAACATTTTACTTGGGTGGCTCACTACGCCTTAAAAAGCTCTTATGTACTATTACAGTACCTATGTCTTTTGATATTTTTGCATTGTACTTATAGTTTTTAAGAGCAGTCGCCTGCTTCTTGATATTCTTGAAGTTCAATGCTGCTACAGGTTTAGACCTCTGAGATATTTCAAATTTAAGTGTAGTTGAGATTTGGGGCGATTTTGGGGTTGGTATTGTTGGGATGCACGATTTTTCGCTTTGAATCGATCCACATATAGGATCGTATGCCCTTGGAATCGATCTCACAAAAATTGTTTCAAAATAATTTTGATACCATTTAGTTAGAGTGATATTAGCCAGTGAGAAAAGATGTTCAGATGGCAGGGAAGTAACGACAATCGCCAAATATAACTTGACTAAAAAAATAAAATATTGAAAATATGACTTACCTATTGTACTTAGATGTTGTCAAACTACTTTTCTTGACCAAAATACAATAGGATTAGCCTTACTATTCAACCGGGGGTTCAGCCGGAGACTGTTTTGTTTAAATTATGAATACGATCTTGAACCTATCTTCATAAAAGTCGAATCGTAATATGCATCCCTAATGTGTAGAGAAGGGGCGAATGTTTGGCTGTTTGTTACGTAATGACAAATTTGAGAGAATTACAATTGAAGGGAAAGCAGAAGAAAAAAGAAAGAGAGGAAGACCAAGAATGACGTACAGTGAACAAATAAAGAAGAACATCAAAGTGAACAGCTATAACGAGGTCAAGGATATATGTTGAGGAGGCTATACCGACAAGGGCCTGGTTCTTAAATAGGATAGTATTGATGTGTAGAGAACCGTTTTTTGGCTCTGTTCGGGTGCCAGTGCCACAAGGGCCTTGCGTAATAATGCGAGTAATGCTCTGTCCACATATATAAAAAAAAAAGATAAGAAAAGGAAAGACTGCAACAAAAGACAATGGCATAAAAACACAGGTGCAATACTATAAAATACTCCCTAGCTTAAATTACATATGGATATGCTTGTGAATGAATATAAAGTAGACACTTTACCCAAAAAATGTATTCGTATAGATATTGCTGCTTTATAAGCAGTTAGGTTTACATGATTGAAGGACACGTCTCTTTGGAAATTTTGTAAAGAGAGACGACGTGACGCAGCAAAGTAAGAATGATGAAGAAAAAGAATTAGAGGACGATTCAAAATTTCAAAAGTAAGTGGACAAAACCCGAGAAAAGCGTGACTAAAAGGTGGGACGACGATGTAAGAAGGCGCATCATCACACACCGACAAGAGCCTGGTTCTTAAATAGGATAATGGTGAAGAGAACGTTTGTTTGTGGATTCAAAGGTCAACGGTCCTGTGACCTTGGACTTAAATTTCTAAGTTACGTACATTTGTGAATATTTAGAAGCTAAGCTAACGCTAACTGTGAGGAAAAATTTCGTGGTGAAGCCTGCACTTGGGACAAGATTCATAACCTTGAAGAACCAAGATACATTACCCAACTCACATTGAGCCAGCGTGACGGACTACGGCCTAGACCCTCTCTTTAAAGGACACGCTCAGCAGTAGGACTTATAATGGGTGATGATGATGATGTGTTTAGTAGAGAATGACATTATGCAATAGGGAATGAAGTTACACAGTTCCTAACAAAAATGCCCGACCACATTACATTTGGTGACAGTACTGGTGATAACAAACGTCTTTAACTGAAATATAATATTAAATTTGTTAAAAAATTTAAAGATTCTTGAAGTGAAGTTCGTGCCCAGGAGTATTGTGGGAATAATGAATGATTTTATTCGTAAATTATGAGTCGACAAGTAAAAGGCTTTTTCAAGTTCAATCTTTCTTTTCGTGTATATCTAGCTATTTCTTAGCTGATGCAGGTGACTTGCAGGCGTCGTTTAATCCGCCACTTAACGGAAATATAAAAAAAGATAAACCCCAGAAAACAATTATTAATAAATTACAGTGAGATCGCACCTTTATGTTACACTTTTACAATATTACTGAATTACCATGAGAAACTTTTTTAGCCTCGCACTAAGGAAACCTTGTGTCACGGATGCCATGGACACCACATAGATAACCACAAATTGCACCCAAACTCACGAGAAAAATAAATGTAGGTCATAAAAAAAGGAATATTAGCAGTAGAGCTCCTTGTGAAAGAGTTCGTCCAGGGAAATACTGCCGCGTTATGTACCTATTTCTGCCGCCAAGCAGTAATTTAAGCATTACTGCGTTCCGATTTTGAAGGATGCTGATGACCCTACAGGCACATAGGACCACCCAACTTATGTCTCAGGGAGACGGGCACAGTAGCAGTAATCCTCAGGTCATTCCGATTTAAAGCTCGAACACTATGTATCTAAAAAAAATCTACAAGAACGTTGTAAAGCTTCGAAGACTCTATGCTAGTGACGTACAAGAATAAAGTTGAACCAATACAGCAGCTGTGCAGGTGTTACTTATGTACTCATTTCAAGCGCCATCAAGAGATTACCGAAAGAATTATCATTAAAGAAATCACAAAACAGCCTATCAGTTTTCAGGCAACTGTCGATGGTTATCTGCAAACGGTAACACAGCCACTTTAGGCACGATATCTTAATCTTATCAATTTATAATTTGATCGTTAAAAATCAGTGAGCACGAATTTGTTGTCAACTATTTTGCTGTGTTGATAAAATGCTCACACGAAACTGGATTTCATAAACCTACCTAATTTAACTTGATTTATATCTACTACTGCTGTTCATAAACTGATCATAAACCGCGCGACTAAGTCGTCATTTGAGGTAAAGAACGCATAATCGAAGGTTATGTCGATTCTACTCTGTGGGCATATTCTTAACGGATTTGTCCAATTAACACAAAAAAGCTTTTATTTCAAAGCTATAGGAGGCAAGCTCTCTCACTCTAAAGGTAATTGTCCCTGAATACATGCAAGAAATCCGAAATATTTTTTCTTAGGTGTACCCTGAATTCCTCTGGTGACGTGCAGAGAATTATTGTCATGTGAGAAAATTACTGAACAGACTAAGGTTTCGATTTAGCAGACTTCTATAGCAGAGGAAGATTCGATCAGAGTTTTAGTTTTAACGAATAAAAAAAAAATCTTAAAAT